CTGACATTTACCCTAAAATTACCCACACTTGACCCTAAAACTAACCTTAAACTCAGTTTACATCATGGTCCTAAACCTAACCCCCCACCCGTAATTTGCATTTGTACCCGGTCCCCATGAGGTTGCTTTTTCTGGAAAATGGTTCCCACAATGTGTGAAAAATGTGTCCACCTCCACACATGCACAAAGTAATCATGTTTTTTTTTTTGTTTGTTTTTTGGCTATGGTTTTAAATGGTTTACCAAATAAATCACAAGTTTTTTCAGAGTGTCTGACAATTCTAAAGCATTGGCACAATCAGAAATGGATACGCAAGTCTAAATCCATACTAAGATAATTAAACATGTCAGAAATTACCTWTCAGTTGCATTCAGTTTTTTTTATTTTGTTATAGGAAAAACTTGTAAACTCAAACTAACCAATTGTTTCATCGACACAGCATAATATACATCTGCTGTTGCATTATAAGCCAAAACATTGGTCTTGCTGGTCTAATGCCCCATGGTCCTTTAACAATTCCCTTTATTCATCTTAATAAGCCATTCTTTTAAAAAGAAGCCTCAGTTAATTTCAGTTTGCATGTGTTGTTGGATTACTCCGGTATATATTTTTTTGTGAAAAAAAGCAAAAGGTAAAAAATGTAAAAATATATATTAGTCCAATGATTAAGGATTCATATTGTTTTTAATTAACAGATTAGTCTTAAACTTAAGAAATGGAGGCATGGATCAACACAACCTTTGAAAGTTTCAAATGTRTGTCAGATAAGAATAGCATATTGGTTCAGTGGCTTGTTAAGAAAATAAATGCCAGAATAGAAACAGTGCCATGAAAAATACATTTAAATCAAAACTATTGAACCTAAATGGATAACAAAAGAGGCAATTGTTCATTTCATTGTGTATGGCAAATTTAAAAGTATAACATAATCTTACAATTTAAGGCACTCTACATGTGTTATAAAATTATGATGTAGAGTACATTAGACATTAGAGAATGTTGTTTAAATCTCAGCAGAGAATAAAGACATATAAACAGTAGTAGATTTCTCAATAAATAAACAGCAGAAAAACTGAAGATTTCATTGCAACCATATTCTTAAACTCTTATTATTCTTAACTGTGCAATGATTCTTTCCATTGCATTGATAGAAATCATAAAAGCCACATTTTCAAAAATGCAATAAGTGAACACAAATTATGTCAAAACTGTTGGTTTCTTTGGTCACGTCGTAAAAAAATGTGCACATCATGACACATACACGGTGAGTTGGTMAGTTCGCTACAATTTTCACTTATACATGACCATATGATGAATGAATTGGATTTATAGCAGCAATAAATACAATTACATTTACTAACTGACTTGTGACATTTGCTTATGTTCTATCTGCAGTTACATGAAACTTGCTTTACAGTTGCAGCAAACACCATCCATGTCCTTTAGACTACAATCACATCAGTAATGATGGACAAAACAGTAATTTGTTAATTGGCCGAGATGATGATATTAAGACCACGGTTAAGTTGGAAAAAAGTCTTTCTAACATTTATGTTTATGAAAATAAAGAATTAAAATCTGTTACAATGCCTCTCGAATTCTAACAGTCTGTAAAGTGATCTGGAAACAACAAATATGGACACAAACTCATGAACATGACTGAGGTGAATCCACTAGCCAATCCATCTATGACATGCTATTTTCATTGACAAAAACAAAAGAGGTAAAATTGGTACACCTGTTTGTTGTTATAAAACACATTTTCCATAGGATCAATATTTTATTGATCCATAAGACCGTTCTTTGGATTTCACAACACTACTGAATATAGATTCATCTCAGTGGAAAGTCGCTGAATTCTACAGTTCTTTTCCTTTGCTAGATGCCATTGGCTTTATTGAGGGAAGTTTTGCTACTTCGTTTGTTACTTTCTTCAACCTTCATGGCCTGCTGGAGAGCCTCTGCCATTGGAACCTTGTCTTCTGCTTCCGTCTCTCTGTGGTAGAAGTAGTTGAAGTTGGAAACAATGACAGGAACAGGCAAAGCAATTGTCAATACACCTGCAATGGCACATAAGGTGCCGACCACCTTACCCCCCAGCGTTATGGGGCACATGTCTCCATAGCCTACAGTGGTCATGGTGACCACAGCCCACCAGAAACCATCAGGAATGCTAACAAACTGGGTTTTAGGGTCATCTACCTCAGCAAAGTAGATGGCACTGGAGAAGAGGATCACTCCGATGAAGAGGAAAAAGATGAGCAAACCAAGCTCCCGCATGCTGGCCTTCAGAGTCTGCCCCAAGATTTGCAGCCCCTTCGAGTGGCGCGACAGTTTGAAAATACGGAACACCCTGACCAGGCGGATGATACGTAAAATGGCCAAAGACATGTTCTGTCCTGAGCTCTCTTCTGGGGTTGTGGCCAATTCTGTGATCAGAGTTACAAAATAGGGAACGATGGATATGATGTCAATGATGTTCATGAGGTTGTGGAAAAACTCCTTTTTGCTCGGACAAGCCACAAACCGAACACACAGTTCAAAGGCAAACCAAGCAATGCAGGCGGTCTCAATGAAAAAGAAAGGATCAGAAAACGTTTTGAGCTTGGATGGAGCTGCACTAGTGTGATATCTTGATTGGTTTAAATGTTTTAGGGAGGGAACAACCGGATCAGAGTCGTCTCTAAATACTGGCAGTGTTTCCATGCAGAAAATAATAATCGAAATTACAATAACAAGGACAGAGACGAGTGCTACACCTCGTGCTGCATTGGAGCTCTCCGGGTACTCAAACAATAGCCAAAATTGCCTGGATATGTCATTTTTAGGGAGTGGGATGTCGACATCTTTTATGAACCCCTCGTCTTCTCTGAACTGCTCCATTGCCTCGCTCCCGAGCTCGTAGAATATAATTTCATCAGCAAACACGTCAATTGGAACATTGGCTGGTCTTCTGATTTTACCCCCAGACTGATAGTAATACAAAATCCCATCAAAGCTTGGTCGGTTCCGATCAAAAAAGTACTCATTCCGCATTGGATCAAAGTAGTCCATCCTCTTCAAAGGGTCTCCAAGAAGTGTTTCAGGGAATTGGTCCAATGTTTTAAGTTGTGTCTCAAAACGAAGGCCAGCAATGTTGAAAATGACTTTCTGGTCTCCATCATCCAAACCATGTTTATCTCCAAACAAATCTTCACAGCACTCTTTGGTGAGCTGACTAAAAATTATCTCACTTTCCTTCCCTCCTTCACTATTTAGCAGCATTTTCCAGTTTGAGAGCATGCTGGCACAGCTGCTGTGCCCCTTTCTGCCTGGCGATGGTATTGTTGGGGAATGAGGTACTTCTAGCGTCTGTAATTGTGGAATGGGTGATGAAGAGGTGGATTCCCAGATGTAGGAGGGCAGAGGGCTGTGATGGGAAGGTGTAGAAGACAGCTGAGGAGCTCGTAGGAGGTAGCTGACATCTGGGTTGTGCTCTGGGGGCGCATCTGCTGTGAGAGCTGTAGTCTCGTCAGCAAAGGTGTCCACATCCTCGAGGCTAACATCAAGGTCCTCCAGGCTCTCGAAGTCAACCAAGGCCACATCCATGGCTGTGAGCCAGCCAGCGTAAAGCCTTGCACTACCAGATTAAGACAATCACACGAACAATAAAGGACAGATGGAAAGCTCAGTCACCAAAATGAGCAGCATTAGTTTGCCAGTGCATGGAGTCTTCGTGAAGACTCACAGGACAAACTAATGGCCAGCTTTATAGTTTCCAATCAGCACCTACAGAAAAAAAATAGAAAACAGAAAAAAGAGAGAATTAGTGAGTTCCTGTAAATATGTTAAAACCAAAGGCACAAGTTACATTTTGTGATTGAAACATTTTTTAAATTTATCTGAAAAAAAATGCAAGAATTTCCTTATTTTGTGCTTTTTAGCTCTGCACATAAACATCATTCCACAATTTTGTTGCAATTCTTCTATTACAAAGGCTGCTTTTGCTAATAAATTAATTTTTTTCCACTCTATTAATTCTTTTACAAACACAACTACTGCTTAAATGAAAGAAAGTCGAGGTGCACACTCTGTAATGACCCTAATGGAGCTTGTGTGAGAAGAGTAGTGCAGGGTAACTGGGGCCTTTGCATAAATTAGTGCATAATTAACTGGCTGAGCAGTGATAGCATGGGTCTGCCTTCTTCCAGACACCACATTTAAAATGTACTCTGTGTTTTCCAGAAGCCATGAGACTCTGCACATTCTTCTTGTTGTGCTGGCATTTGTGTACCGAAATTCCAGACTTATTATTTTCACCAATAAGAATATTGTAAGTAAACTCTTTGCTGAGAAATGTTTGATGTTTGTCTTAATTAACCCTGTTTTCTTCATGCTTACACTACATATGTGACTGAGATGCCGGCAGGTGTTTAATTAAAAACTTCAGAGATGAGTCAACACCTAAAACCAGTGCAAGTGATTCCAATCCTGCTTTGTGAAAAAAAAAAAGTCTGAAAGAGAGTGAATTAGGAGGAAGACATGAAAATTATTGGGAAGATGAATGTGGGTGGCAGAATCGGGTGAGATGAGGACAGAGTAGCAAAAATGGGAAGTGACAGTAAGACAGAATAGGAGCTGTTGGGTGGGTGGATGAATAGATGGGATGATGAGAGAAGACCTTTGACAAGGAAAGAAGGAAGACCTATTATGAGCAGAGAACAACAGCTATGATATATTGAGGAGCAATTATTTTAATCGGATTTCTAAAATCTGACCAAGTATTTACATTTTATTTATTTTTTAAATTTTAGGAAATGTTTGCTCGTCCATCTTGTCCATTTCTCAGAGCTAGAATATGAAAAATGTCTTTTTTTAGCAGAGTAGAACTATAAAAGCTACAAAAGAAAGCCAAACCTCTGTTTCCCCACAGATGATATTATCTGAGGCATTAACTAAGTTTAAGTATGAGTTTAAGTTGCTGGTTCTCAAACATAAAGTGCAATTGTTTAGCAATTAATTAATTTTAGTAACTGTAATAAAAAAACTTCCTAAAAACTTGCTTATTTCCATTTTAAAAGGGTTTAAAGTAAGATGTTATCAGCTGAATATACTGGAATTCTGCTATTAAAAAGAAAAATGTTGAATAAAACAAAGACTTAGGACTGTAACAGCATAATCAAATCTCTCTTAATCCTTTAAAACCATAATCCAAACACTAAGAGCAGAAAAAACATGCTCCTTAATCTGTTTGTGCAAATCAGTTAAATTATCATTTTTGACAATTTTAAAAAATGTTTATTAATTATTAGGCAACACACTTTTATTAAATCCTAATATTATTTTTATACAACTTGTTTTATTTTTTACCTATTACCTCTCATTTCTTTTACAAAATTATGACAATAATAAAAACATGTTCAAGTAATTTTGTTTTTTGAACTTCCCAAAAAGATTACCTTAACAGGTTCTTAGAGAGCATAACGTACAAGCAGCACACCTTACCTGCTTTTGAAAAAAAAAAATGAAATAAAGAAAAAGCCACCTCTTGATGTTTTGCTGGAAAAGTTTAAACAAGGATTCCCCTCAAGTTCTACTCTTCCTACAACTTCCTGCTGCCTGCTCATTTAAAACCAGAATGCCTTGTCTTTCGTGGACTACTTTGGGTAACTTTACTCTTCAGTAGAAACTGGAGCTGTGGCAAAGGCCAAATAAACAGCCCTACACACACACACACACACACACACACACACACACACACA